TTGACGGTTGGACTCGATGGTCTTAGAGGTCTTTTCCAACCTTAATGATTCTATGATTCTATGAAACTGATGGATGCAGCGGGGAGTTCTCTAATAAAAAAATATCTAGAAGAATGACACTGCTGCAATCACTGTAATTTTGAAGGTTTATTTGGCCTCTTAGAAACCATGTTAATTCAGAAGCCAAGAACAGAAAGTCATACTGGAAGGATGACTAGTTAAAAAACGAAAGGCAAACATAAACTATGCCTCTCTTACTGCAGTTTTATTTCTCAGGCTCCCCACACAGCTATTTTCTGATTTGTGTATCAGCAACATACAGAAACTTTCTCAATAGGTGGTGGATAACTCCACACTTTTGGAAAGGCAAAAAGCTTTCTCATGGTGGCTAGGCACAGGAGCAGGTGAGCATATTCCCCATCACAGTTCTCTGTGCCTGGACAATTCTTCAAATGAAAAAACATGGCTAGGAATACAATGGAAGTTTGTAGATTTTCTACACTAAATATTGCTGCTTTAAGACGACAAAGATCCCCTATCTTGACTCCTGTTTTCTTCCTCTTAAAATCATAGAAGGCAGAACTTGTTTATGATTAATAGCCAATAGCTGAGTGATGAGATATAAGTACGTAAGTACATCCTTAGCTCCTAGGATTTAGTTTAGATTGTCCGTAAGTTTAAGCAGGAGAGTCAACATAATACCAAATCATAGAATTTACCTTGGTCTTTTCTTCTTCAGTTATGGTGAACGATGCTGTCAATGATACGAGATGTGTTTTATTCTGACAGAGATATAAAAATATTACATGTATTAAAAAATGAGCAGAATCTACTGGCAAACAGCCCAGAGTCTCTAGAAAAGCCTCTCCTTAGAAGATAAGCTATACTTCTCATTAAGCTTAAAGCTGAAATAAATCTGATAAGAAAATGCAGTGTACTTAGGGGTAACACTAACAGACATGTTGGGTGCCAAAAAGGGCTGTCATGGTTTAACCCCAGCCAGACACTAAGCACCACACAGCTGCTTGCTCACTCCCCCCACAGTGGGAAGGGGGAGAGAATCGGAAGAGTAAAAGTGAGAAAACTCGTGGGTTGAGATAAAGACAGTTCATTAAGTAAAGCAAAAGCCGTGCACGCAAGCAAAGCAAAACAAGGAATTCATTCACTACTTCCCATGGGCGTTCAGCCATCTCCAGGAAAGCAGGGCTCCATCATGCGTAACGGTTACTTGGAAAGCCAAACGCCATCACTCCAAACGTCCCCTCCTTCCTTCTTCTTCCCCCAGCTTTATATGCTGAGCATGACGTCACATGGTATGGAATATCCCTT